CCGCAACTGTGTTGGACCGGCTCTGTCTCATTGTCTTCAGTCTATTCACAGTCCTGTCCACAGGTCTCTGCCTCTACTCTGCCCCTCAACTCATGGTCTAACACTTTAATACATGGTATGTGTCCAAAACTACCATTACTTGAGCTACAATTTTTCCATTTAAATCTTCAAATCAATAACAATCATCTTCTTCTCAACAGTAGAATTGTATTGATTTTCTTATCGATAAACTTATTGTCATTAAATAGTCGTCAATTTGTTTTATTTTCTGTTTTAAACTTAATTTCAGTTTTACTTGTATTAGCTGTCAATTAAATTATAATTAAAATCAATAAACAGAGTTATGTTATAACGCTATGGGTTTTAATAAATACTACTTTTAATGCAATTCTAGACTTATTCTCTTGTAATTTATTTATCATTTTATGTCAAATGGATATCATATTAAAACTTCATTAATTGTTATTAAAAACTATTTAACGCTATTTATAAGCAATTTTTGCCAATATTATAGTAATAAAGTTTTTGTCAAAATTGTGTTACAAATTGTACAGTTTATGAATTTGTAATTATAACTGTAATTATTAGTAAAAAAAAATATTGAATTAAAAATGATTTTATTATTTATTTTATTTAATTAAAAATTATTTAATAATAATATAAGGTCAATTATAAAATAAATTAATACAACAGTGTTTTCAAAACAAACTTCGCAAAAATACGAGAAAATAAAATATATAATTATCTAAATTATATTAAAAAACAAATGCAAAGCTTTTTTAGGTTTATAATCAAATTTATTACACAAATACTTTTTTGTCATACATTTGTTCATTCATTTATGTGAATATTTACTTAAACTTAAGGCACAAAAAACTCTCTAATTTACAATCAATGAACTCTACGGCTAAACAGATCTGTTTTATTTGAAATAACTAAACGATGGATAAAACTTTTCTTTTATACCACATCTGTGCTGTGAAAAAAATAAATCGATAAATAAATCAATTGTAAGTATTGTCTCAAACATTGCATTAAAAGTAGTATTTATTAAAACCCATAGCGTTATAACATAACTCTGTTTATTGATTTTAATTATAATTTAATTGACAGCTAATACAAGTAAAACTGAAATTAAGTTTAAAACAGAAAATAAAACAAATTGACGACTATTTAATGACAATAAGTTTATCGATAAGAAAATCAATACAATTCTACTGTTGAGAAGAAGATGATTGTTATTGATTTGAAGATTTAAATGGAAAAATTGTAGCTCAAGTAATGGTAGTTTTGGACACATACCATGTATTAAAGTGTTAGACCATGAGTTGAGGGGCAGAGTAGAGGCAGAGACCTGTGGACAGGACTGTGAATAGACTGAAGACAATGAGACAGAGCCGGTCCAACACAGTTGCGGCAAATTTCCATTCGGCAATCAATTCGTTGATGTCGTCCTGTCTTCTCATCCGATTCGTTATGAATCGCATTTCAAACAGAATTTCTTTGATTTTCTTGTGTTTAGCGCTCAGTGGATGACTGTATGGGTTGTTGTGAGCGGTGGGCGAGTCCTGCGGATAGTCGGCGGCCGACGGCTGATCGGCGCTGTCGGCGGCGGCGAAGTGCTGGCGATTATAGTTGTGTTCAATGGTGTGATCTCTGATGTGATTGCAGTGATTGTTTGTTTTA